TGATACACCGTTACCCTGTTACACCGTTACCCTGTTACACCGTTACCCTGCTACACCGTTACCCTGTTACACCTCTACCCTGTTACACCTCTACCCTGTTACACCTCTACCCTGTTACACCTCTACCCTGTTACACCGTTACCCTGTTACACCTCTACCCTGTTACACCTCTACCCTGCTACACCGTTACCCTGCTACACCTCTACCCTGTTACACCTCTACCCTGATACACCTCTACCCTGCTACACCTCTACCCTGTTACACCTCTACCCTGTTACAACCTCTACCCTGTTACACCTTACCCTGTTACACCTCTACCCTGATTACACCTCTACCCTGATACACCTCTACCCTGTTACACCTCTACCCTGATACACCTCTACCCTGTTACACCTCTACCCTGCTACACCGTTACCCTGTTACACCTCTACCCTGCTACACCGTTACCCTGCTACACCGTTACCCTGCTACACCGTTACCCTGTTACACCTCTACCCTGTTACACCTCTACCCTGTTACACCTCTACCCTGTTACACCGTTACCCTGCTACACCTCTACCCTGCTACATCGTTACCCTGTTACACCTCTACCATGTTACACCTCTACCCTGTTACACCTCTACCCTGTTACACCTCTACCCTGCTACACCGTTACCCTGTTACACCTCTACCCTGTTACACCGTTACCCTGTTACACCTCTACCCTGATACACCTCTACCCTGTTACACCTCTACCCTGCTACACCTCTACCCTGATACACCTCTACCCTGTTACACCTCTACCCTGTTACACCTCTACCCTGCTACACCGTTACCCTGTTACACCTCTACCCTGTTACACCGTTACCCTGTTACACCTCTACCCTGAAACACCTCTACCCTGCTACACCGTTACCCTGTTACACCTCTACCCTGTTACACTGTTACCCTGTTACACCTCTACCCTGATACACCTCTACCCTGATACACCTCTACCCTGTTACACCTCTACCCTGCTACACCTCTACCCTGATACACCTCTACCCTGATACACCTCTACCCTGTTACACCTCTACCCTGTTACACCTCTACCCTGATACACCTCTACCCTGTTACACCGTTACCCTGTTACACCTCTACCCTGTTACACCTCTACCCTGTTACACCTCTACCCTGTTACACCTCTACCCTGTTACACCGTTACCCTGTTACACCTCTACCCTGTTACACCTCTACCCTGTTACACCTCTACCCTGTTACACCTCTACCCTGATACACCTCTACCCTGTTACACCTCTACCCTGATACACCTCTACCCTGCTACACCGTTACCCTGTTACACCTCTACCCTGTTACACCGTTACCCTGCTACACCGTTACCCTGCATATCATTCAATTCAATTTCACTGTAGGAACCCTACAGTCTCTCTGTATATTACTATAGAAAGACTGATTATTACATCTGACTACATTTATACAGACCTACAGAACTAAGCACTTACATTGATGACTGTTAATGAGGATGTCACTATTAGCAGATAACTTGTGATCGTTAGTAGTGATGGATCGTAATGATGATCGTTAGTAGTGATGGATCGTAATGATGATCGTTAGTAGTGATGGATCGTGATGATACAGTATGTTAGTAAATTCTTACATGGCAATGTAAATGAAAGTATCATTAACCAATTAAGTCATACATAAAGGTATTTAAACAACAGAGAATGACTTTTACTTGTGAAATGACATTGAAAGTAAAATACTATGATCTTGGACCAGGACTTGTTTGAAGATAATACTTAATTGAGCATGAATCCATAGTGAATCTACATTGAAGTTCAGCAACTAAATCCATAGTGAATCTACATTGAAGTTCAGCAACTAAATCCATAGTGAATCTACATTGAAGTTCAGCAACTAAATCCATAGTGAATCTACATTGAAGTTCAGCAACTAAATCCATAGTGAATCTACATTGAAGTTCAGCAACTAAATCCATAGTGAATCTACATTGAAGTTCAGCAACTAAATCCATAGTGAATCTACATTGAAGATCAGCAACTAAACAAGGGAAATTATTATAAGCTTTTATAAGCATTTATAGTGGTTTTACACATTTCATTTTATCTAGCCAGGAAAGTCCATTTATTAACACTTGCCACTGTGTACATTAAATGTAATATAAAGTGTTACCAACAAAATATGACTCACCGAATCAACCTGTTTTCAGGTCAGTGATGCTCTCCTCGGGGATAGCAGAGAGAGAAGAGATCTACTGGATCAGGTCAGTGATGCTCTCCTCGGGGATAGCGGAGAGAGAAGAGATCTCCTGGATCAGGTCAGTGATGCTCTCCTCGGGGATAGCAGAGAGAGAAGAGATCTCCTGGATCAGGTCAGTGATGCTCTCCTCGGGGATAGCGGAGAGAGAAGAGATCTCCTGGATCAGGTCATGAAGACTAGAGATCTGGAACAGGTAACAATCAGGAGGAGTGTTGGTTGAGGCTGACGAGAGATAAAAGTGTGAGTGAATTCTGCTTTTCTTCTGTTTTAATTTTTTTCTCCTGTGAGCAAGAATCAAATCAAAGAAAAATAGTGGGAGATGTGGTTGGCACAGCCAGGGCACTATGGTAGAGGAGCAGAGACCGTCCGGTGCCTGTGTTAACACCAGGCAGAGGTTAGGGTTGAGGGGAGGAGGGGAGGGTGTGTGGTGTGTGGTGTGGCTAAAGGACGTGCAGCTACTTTCTCTGACAGGCGATGGAGGATACACCCACTGCTCGGGTGTCAGTTCGGTACCACAACACCCTAAACTATCTAGATTCCTCAGGGTGACTAGATCAGTAACTGACAGTAAGGAGAATAGATTTAGATTAGATAAATAGATTTAGATTAGATAAATAGATTTAGATTAGATAGAGGTTAGACCAAAGACCTCTCAGTGGAACTATGGAACCACAATGTTTTAAAAGCATTTTATTACCAACAGTAAAACTTCATGATTTCGCTGGTGTTGTAAAAAAAATAAAATCCCATGCTGAAGTTATAGTATCAGCAAACATCATTGATACATTATGTCAGATATCTGGATGTATAGACCGCGACACTAGTAGCACAATGCTATTTTTGCATTATCTTCACAGTGCAGCGTTGATGATACACAGATCGGTCAATAATATTGTCAAAAGTGAGAATGTACAGGACAAAAGAACATGTGATCCAAACGTAACGTTACAGACAGACACTTGGTGATTCCCAATAAAACAGTTACTGAACTCAACCAATAAAACAGTTACTGAACTCAACCAATAAAACAGTCACTGAACTCAACCAATAAAACAGTCACTGAACTCAACCAATAAAACAGTTACTGAACTCAACCAATAAAACAGTCACTGAACTCAACCAATAAAACAGTTACTGAACTCAACCAATAAAACAGTTACTGAACTCAACCAATAAAACGGTTACTGAACTCAACCAATAAAACAGTTACTGAACTCAACCAATAAAACGGTTACTGAACTCAACCAATAAAACAATTCACAAAGTAAAGCTTTCATATTAAACGGTACAACTCTAGCAGTTGAGTGGGGAGCAGCAGATGCAAATCATGACAAACTCCGTCATATGGCTTTTCCATAGTGAGAGTACAGAGAGTGATGAAACTGTACAGGTAATTTGTTAACCAAAGTGTACAGACGGACGACCGGCCGATTTACTGACTATTCACTCTCCTTTGTTCATTTAGGGAGGGGGTGTGTGGGTGGGGGGTTGGACTAAGAGCACACAGTTCAGGAGCAAAAAAAAAAATATATATATATATATAATAGAATTATCGTAAAATTAACTCTGTCCATAAGGTGTAGATAGTAAGTATAAGCTGGAAGTAGAGGCCTGGGCATTGTTGTTCACTAGTTTACCCCAAGTAGGGAAAGGATGGTGGGGTTGAAAAGTAATAAAGGGGAGTATATATATATAAAACATGGGGGATTGGAAGTGATGCAGACAATTACATTGATAGAAGATACAATCTATCTGCAATATTAAGCTGATCCACCCCCCCCCCCCCCAAAAAAATAAAAATAAATAAAGAGCACAGTGTACAATATGTCCAATGTCCACTTTCAAAGTAATAGTTGCTATGAAAAAACTCCTAAACACAGAACTATAGAAATTTAATGATCATTCTATAGGAGAAATCATTGCAAAATACTTCATAGCAGTTGAATCTACATGTAACAATCACACGTATTTAGACAGAGAGCACATCTCTTGAAGCAGGTGTCTTTAGACAGAAAGCACATCTCTTGAAGCAGGTGTGTTTAGACAGAGAGCACATCTCTTGAAGCAGGTGTCTTTAGACAGAGAGCACATCTCTTGAAGCAGGTGTCTTTAGACAGAGAGCATATCTCTTGAAGCAGGTGTCTTTAGACAGAGAGCATATCTCTTGAAGCAGGTGTCTTTAGACAGACAGAGAGCACATCTCTTGAAGCAGGTGTCTTTAGACAGAGAGCATATCTCTTGAAGCAGGTGTGTTTAGACAGAGAGCACATCTCTTGAAGCAGGTGTCTTTAGACAGAGAGCATATCTCTTGAAGCAGGTGTCTTTAGACAGAGAGCACATCTCTCAAAGCAGGTGTCTTTAGACAGAAAGCACATCTCTTGAAGCAGGTGTCTTTAGACAGAGAGCACATCTCTTGAAGCAGGTGTGTTTAGACAGAGAGCACATCTCTTGAAGCAGGTGTCTTTAGACAGAGAGCATATCTCTGGAAGCAGGTGTCTTTAGACAGAAAGCACATCTCTTGAAGCAGGTGTCTTTAGACAGAGAGCACATCTCTTGAAGCAGGTGTCTTTAGACAGAGAGCACAACTCTTTGATGAATGATAACCAGTATACAGATGTAGGATCTAACTTGTTGATTATAATTTTTCTGCACAGCAGGAAATGCAAACTTGTAGTGTATTCAAGGTTTAAAAACGCTTCTAAAGTTTGTAATTTACACTTTAACATTTCAGATTTGCCCTA